GAGAAGCGCGCGCACGCACGCACACAACACACACACACACACACACACACACACACAACACACACACACACACACACACACACACACACACACACACACACACACACACACACACACACACACACACATATATATATATATATATATATATATATATATATATATATATATATATATAAATTTCAGGACTAGCGTCGTCACCAAGATCATCATGTAGGAAAGGACTTAACAAAAATGTCGTACTTCTTATTCTTCTTTAATGTACAAAGCCAAACGTTTCGGGGGTACTTCCACCCATTTTCAATGGCGAACTGTAAGTGAACAACATATAAGATTTAACAATTACAATCAGTATCAAAATATATACAATTACATTAGATGTAAATATGGAATTTATAAGCATTAATGACTAGTGTTGGTGTAAACCATAGTTTAACCTATGTAAGGTAAGAACAATCATCTAGGCAACAAAGATGAAAATACAATAAGCATCAGATTTGTACAATATCCTTAGGACACAATCAGTAAAACAAATTGACTAGTATGAATCTTAACAATTGAAAATCAAATTGAGTTATATTCAAGAAAAAATAAAATATTCTCAAAATTGAGGAAATGCAATTAATTCATAATATCAAAGACAAAGTATGTGATAATTTAAGATACAGAATCAAATACATTGAGACATAATAATGGCAGATTCAAAAGAACATGAGACAGAAAAGGTAAGCGGGAAAGCTGGCATACTATTTTGGGCTATAAAATCTAAATCCAAAACTTTTCTTAGGTTAATCTTTACAATTTATGAGAACCAAAGTTAAAAGAATCAAATGTCAAGGTTTTGACCATGGTTACTAACCTAAAATATACAAAAATCCATGGAAATAAGAGCAGCGCAGCAGGTGACGCGTACTGTAAGCCACCAAGGGACGCTATGAAATGGCGCGGTTGTCTACCAAACTTGAGACTATCAGGAGAAAGAAAATCCACATGTGAAAATGTGAGACTAAAGAGAATGTAAATTCTCCAAAAACAGAATTATTATTTAAGAAGTTCAATGTCTATTGAAGATGAATATTCATTTAAATTTGGTTTTTCTTTCCAGATCCATAGACTTTCTAAAATGATTAAATCAAAATCAAAAGGGGAGGAGTCTAGGATTTCAAAATTCTCTGATGAGAAAGAATGGTTTTTTGCTTCACAGTGGCTTCTAATTGAAGATTTATTTGGTCTAGTTAGCTTGTAATTAGTATTTCTAAATGAGAAACCTTTATGTTCTTCAATTCTCATGAAGAGATTACGGGAAGTCTTCCCAATGTAAGTAGCATCGCAGCTACCGCACGTGAATTTGTATACTATTGAAGAGCGTAAAGGTTTCGGTACTTTGTCCTTAAATTTAAATAAATTACTTAATGAGAGTGAGGTTGTATATACTACTTTAAGAGTGACAGTTGAGTAATGAACTTTAATTAGATTTGATAATTTTCTTTCTAGACCGTGGCTAATAGTTCCAAGATAAGGTAGTTTCATATAAATTACATCCTTAGGGGCAGTCAATGTGGGTTCGACAGGGACCAAAAGTCTATTGAGAGTTGTCCTTATGTTCTTTTCAATAAAATTAATTGGGAACATGTTCAATCTTAAAATATTTGTGATAAAATCAATTTACTTAATGAAGATAAAATAATCCTTGGAAATTTTGAATGCTCTGAAAATCAGCGTAGAAATTAAATTCCCCTTATATTTGATAGGTATATAAGAATTGAATTTAGTTGTTAGACCCGTGTAAGTTGGTTTTCTATAGACTGAGGAGACAAAAGAATTCATATCCCTAGAAATATCAATATCCAAAAAGGGAAGGTGTCATTTAATTAAATGTTAGGATGTTGGTTATTAAGGTATTCCAAGAATTTGTTAACTTCATTTTCGGATTTGAATAACAATAAAGTATCATCAACATATCTGAAATAATGTTTGGGTTTAAATTCTATAGGGCAATTTTCAAGCCATTTACTTTCATTATAACACATGTTTATGCTCTGCTTCCCGTCTGGAAGTCCAACTACCACAATTATATATATATATATATATATATATATATATATATATATATATATATATATATATATATATATATATATATATATGCCGATGGCATATGGGGGACAACAGCCTTTTTCCGATGTCCTGTCGGAGTGTTGGTCCCACAGCCTTCAACGGGTTCGTCTATATATTGAGTATTGAGCCGAGAGCTTGGTGTCTCACATGTTGCCAGTTTCATTCGCACCAGCTATCTAACTAAGCAGGGTTCGAATTTCTAGATCTTTTAGAATCATGATTTTATCCCCATAAGTGAATGTAAATGAGAGAAATGTATATTAAATATAAAAAAATACATATATCAAGGATCATAATTATGTTACATGCACTACGTTCCTAATATTGTAATGCCTTGTATTTTCATTTACCAAACAAGCATTTAACATTCGAATACCAGTTCGCTTCTTAAACACTGAACAGGGAGACAGAAACATGATATAGATCACTATTTCATCTGCATATATCGGTATCTCGTCAATAATCATATTCTTGTTTCCTTCTATTCTCTGACCGTATCCATCTCACTCTCCTTTCCCGATTTTTCTTCCTTTATCCTCCACTCCTCCCTTTTTACCTCCTCCCCCCCACACACAAAGATGCAGATAATATAGCGGTAGTACATTCAATTACTAGGGACAGTCACCACAAGTAGACGTTACTAACCTCTCCTGTCTTCACTGCTTTGTGAATTAGCTAAAGAGAGGTCGATGAATCCACACTAAGGAACTCTAAACCTGGGGAATTATATCCAGAGATGGAGTATAAGACTGTACGCTGGTGACTCTAGTGACAACACCTGTGTCATGCTGCTTGCGGAGAGGGGAAACTGTTGGATGGGGCAACTGCTTGTCTTATGCATTACTCTAGGTATAGGCCATGTACATATAGATATGTATGTATGGGTGAATTTAAATTACAGTGCAAATGAAAGGATCTGTATGTTGTGAGACAGCAGATATGTTTTAATTCACACCGTATTTCATTTCAGCAACCACTGATGAACTGCCTGAAACAAAGCCTCCAGTCAACACTCAAGGCCCTAATGTCACTCCAGGCCCTGATGTTACTTCAGGACCAGAAGATGGGGACACTCCCGAGGAAGGATCTCCTGGTGAGGACACTCCTGAGGAAGGATCTCCTGGTGTAGACATTCCTGAAGAAGGATCTTCTGGTGTAGACACTCCTGAGGAAGGATCTCCTGGTGAAGACACTCCTGATCAAGGATCTTCTGGTGTAGACACTCCTGATGAAGGATCTTCTGGTGTAGACACTCCTGACTTCTGGTTCCTGATCTCCTGGTGAAGACACTCCTGATGAAGATCTTCTGGTGTATCCTGATGAAGGATCTCCTGGTGTAGACACTCCTGAGGAAGGATCTCCTGGTGAAGACACTCCTGATGAAGGATCTTCTGGTGTAGACACTCCTGATGAAGGATCTCCTGGTGTAGACACTCCTGATGAAGGATAGACACTCCTGATGAAGGATCTTCTGGTGTAGACACTCCTGATGAAGGATCTCCTGGTGTAGACACTCCTGATGAAGGATCTTCTGGTGTAGACACTCCTGATGAAGGATCTCCACTCCTGATGAAGGATCTTCTGGTGTAGACACTCCTGATGAAGGATCTTCTGGTGTAGACACTCCTGAGGAAGGATCTCCTGGTGAAGACACTCCTGATGAAGGATCTCACTCCTGGAAGGATCTCCTGGTGTAAACACTCCTGATGAAGGATCTTCTGGTGTAGACACTCCTGATGAAGGATCTCACTCCTGATGTAGACACTCCTGATGAAGGATCTCCTGGTGTAGACACTCCTGATGAAGGATCTCCTGGTGTAAACACTCCTGATGAAGGATCTCCTGGTGTAGACACTCCTGATGAAGGATCTCCTGGTGTAGACACTCCTGATGAAGGATCTTCTGGTGTAGACACTCCTGATGAAGGATCTCCTGGTGTAGACACTCCTGATCTTGGTGTAGACACTGATGAAGGATCTCCTGGTGTAGACACTCCTGATGAAGGATCTCCTCACTCCTGATGAAGGATCAGACACTCCTGATGAAGGATCTCCTGGTGTAGACACTCCTGATCTGATGTAGACACTCCTGATGAAGGATCTTCTGGTGTAGACACTCCTGATGAAGGATCTTCTGGTGTAGACACTCCTGATGAAGGATCTCCTGGTGTAGACACTCCTGATGAAGGATCTCCTGGTGAAGACACTCCTGAAGAAGGATCTCCTGGTGTAGACACTCCTGATGAAGGATCTCCTGGTGTAAACACTCCTGATGAAGGATCTCCTGGTGTAGACACTCCTGATGAAGGATCTCCTGGTGTAGACACTCCTGATGAAGGATCTCCTGGTGTAGACACTCCTGATGAAGGATCTCCTGGTGTAGACACTCCTGATGAAGGATCTTCTGGTGTAGACACTCCTGATGAAGGATCTCCTGGTGTAAACACTCCTGATGAAGGATCTCCTGGTGTAGACACTCCTGATGAAGGATCTCCTGGTGTAGACACTCCTGATGAAAGGATCTCCTGGTGTAGACACTCCTGATGAAGGATCTCCTGGTGTAGACACTCCTGATGAAGGATCTCCTGGTGTAGACACTCCTGATGAAGGATCTCCTGGTGTAGACACTCCCTGATGAAGGATCTCCTGGTGTAGACACTCCTGATGAAGGATCTCCTGGTGTAGACACTCCTGATGAAGGATCTCCTGGTGTAGACACTCCTGATGAAGGATCTCCTGGTGTCCTGATGAAGGATCTCCTGGTGTAGACACTCCTGATGAAGGATCTCCTGGTGTAGACACTCCTGAGGAAGGATCTGATGTAGACACTCCTGATGAAGGATCTCCTAGTGTAGACACTCCTGAAGAAGGATCTCCTGGTGTAGACACTCCTGATGAAGGATCTCTGTGTATCCTGGGAAGGATCTCCTGGTGTAGACACTCCTGATGAAGGATCTTCTGGTGTAGACTCCTGATGAAGGATGTGTAGACACTCCTGATGAAGGATCTCCTGGTGTAGACACTCCTGATGAAGGATCTCCTGGTGTCCTGAGTCCTGGCTCCTCCTGGTGTAGACACTCTGATGAAGGATCTCCTGTGTAGACACTCTGAGAAGGATCTCCTGGTGTAGACACTCCTGATGAAGGATCTTCTGGTGTAGACACTCCTGATGAAGGATCTCCTGGTGTAGACACTCCTGAGGAAGGATCTCCTGGTGTAGACACTCCTGATGAAGGATCTCCTGGTGTAGACACTCCTGATGAAGGATCTTCTGGTGTAGACACTCCTGAGGAAGGATCTCCTGGTGTAGACACTCCTGATGAAGGATCTCCTGGTGTAGACACTCCTGATGAAGGATCTCCTGCACTCCTGAGAAGGATCTTCTGGTGTAGACACTCCTGAGGAAGGATCTCCTGGTGTAGACACTCCTGATGAAGGATCTCCTGGTGTAGACACTCCTGATGAAGGATCTCCACTCCTGATGAAGGATCTCCTGGTGTAGACACTCCTGAGGAAGGATCTGATGTAGACACTCCTGAGGAAGGATCTGGTGTAGACACTCCTGAGGAAGGATCTGGTGTAGACACTCCTGATCTGGTGTAGACACTCCCTCCTGGTGTAGACACTCCTGAGGAAGGGTGTAGACACTCCTGAGGAAGGATCTATGTAGACACTCCTGATGAAGGATCTTCTGGTGTAGACACTCCTGATGAAGGATCTTCTGGTGTAGACACTCCTGAGGAAGGATCTCCTGGTGTAGACACTCCTGATGAAGGATCTTCTGGTGTAGACACTCCTGAGGAAGGATCTCCTGATGTAGACACTCCTGAAGAAGGATCTACTGGTGTAGACACTCCTGATGAAGGAAGACACTCCTGAGGAAGGATCTCCTGGTGAGGACACTCCTGAGGAAGGATCTCCTGGTGAGGACACTCCTGAGGAAGGATCTCTGTAGACACTCCTGAGGAAGGATCTCCTGGTGTAGACACTCCTGATGAAGGATCTCCTGGTGTAGACACTCCTGAGGAAGGATCTCCTGGTGAGGACACTCCTGAGGAAGGATCTCCTAGTGTAGACACTCCTGAGGAAGAAACTCCTGTGGAAGAATCTCCTGAGGAATCTCCTGAGGAAGAAACTCCTGAGGAAGAATCTCCTGAGGAAGAAACTCCTGAGGAAGAATCTCCTGAGGAAGAAACTCCTGAGGAAGAATCTGAGGAATCTCCTGAGGAAGAATCTCCTGAGGAAGAAACTACTGAGGAAGAATCTCCTGAGGAAGAAACTCCTGAGGAAGAATCTCCTCTCCTGAGGAAGAATCTCCTGAGGAAGAATCTCCTGAGGGATCTCCTGAGGAAGAATCTCCTGAGGAAGAAACTCCTGAGGAAGAATCTCCTGAGGAAGAATCTCCCGAGGGATCTTCTGAGGAAGAATCTCCTGAGGAAACTCCTGAGAAGAGAGGAATCTCCTGAGGAAGAAACTCCTGAGGAAGAATCTCCTGACTCCTGAGGAAGAATCTCCTGGGGAAGAAACTCCTGAGGAAGAATCTCTGAGTCTCCTGAGGGATGAGGAAGAAACTCCTGAGGAAGAAACTCCTGATGAAGAAATTCCTGATGAAGAAACTCCTGAGGAAGAATCTCCTGAGGAAGAAACTCCTGATGAAGAAACTCCTGAGGAAGAAACTCCCGAGGAAGAATCTCCTGAGGAAGAAACTCCTGAGGAAGAAACTCCTGATGAAGAATCTCCCGAGGAAGAAACTCCTGATGAAGAATCTCCCGAGGAAGAAACTCCTGATGAAGAATCTCCTGAGGAAGAAACTCCTGATGAAGAATCTCCTGAGGAAGAAACTCCTGATGAAGAAACTCCTGATGAAGAATCTCCCGAGGAAGAAACTCCCGAGGAAGAATCTCCTGAGGAAGAAACTCCTGAGGAAGAATCTCCCGAGGAAGAAACTCCCGAGGAAGAATCTCCTGAGGAAGAAACTCCTGATGAAGAATCTCCCGAAGAAGAAACTCCTGAGGAAGAATCTCCCGAGGAAGAAATTCCTGATGAAGAATCTCCTGAGGAAGAAACTCCTGATGAAGAATCTCCCGAGGAAGAAACTCCCGAGGAAGAATCTCCTGAGGAAGAAACTCCTGAGGAAGAATCTCAAGAGGAAGAAACTCCTGATGAAGAGTCTCCTGTGGAAGAAACTCCTGATGAAGAATCTCCCGAAGAAGAAACTCCTGAGGAAGAATCTCCCGAGGAAGAAACTCCTGAGGAAGAAACTCCTGAGGAAGAAACTCCTGAGGAAGAAACTCCTGAGGAAGAAACTCCTGAGGAAGAATCTCCCGAGGAAGAAACTCCTGATGAAGAAACTCCTGAGGAAGAGGAGAAACTCCTCTCCTGAGGAAGAATCTCCTGAGGAAGAACTCCTGAGGAAGAAACTCTGAGGAAGGAGGAAGAAACTCCCGAGGAAGAAACTCCTGAGGAAGAATCTCCTGAGGAAGAAACTCCTGATGAAGAAACTCCTGAGGAAGAAACTCCTGAGGAAGAATCTCCTGAGGACTCCTGAGGAAGAAACTCCTGAGGAAGAATCTCCTGAGGAAGAAACTCCTGAGGAAGAATCTCCCGAGGAAGAAACTCCTGATGAAGAAACTCCTGAGGAAGAATCTCCTGAGGAATCCTGAGGAAGAAAGGAAGAAGAGGAAGAAACTCCTGAGGAAGAAACTCCTGAGGACTCCTGAGGAAGAACTCCTGAGGAAGAGATGAATCTCCCGAGGAAGAAACTCCTGAGGAAGGAGAAGAATCTCCTGAGGAAGAAACTCCTGATCCTGAAAGAATCTCCTGAAGAAGAAACTCCTGAGGAAGACACCCCAGAGGATCCTGACTCCGGTGAATATATTTTTTCGTTTTTCTCCTGAAATTAATGGGTTTCACACTTTTCATTTTCTCACTTATCCAATTTGTGAAAGCATGGAGGCGAATGGAGGCGGACCTTTGTTGTTGCTATAAGGGAGAAGTATAGTGCTTTGTCTGTATAGGAAGGGGAAAGGAGTGAAATTAGATATAACTTGAATTGGTGTTACTAGCACCACATTGATGTCAATTATGTCACTGGGTAGACTAAAGTACTCCTTGACATTCGAAAATATACCTTATCATCTTGTTAATGACAGTCTGAAAACTTTGTCTGTGTTGTGTATTCATCAAATATATACTATAAATACCGGAAATGAATACCACTAACTTCAATTATTTTTTCACTTATATTGCAATAATTGGAATGAAGTAGCCTATATAATAAAGAGAAATGTATATATTTAAGTCATTGCTACAGAAAGTAGATGAACAAATTACATGAGGCATGTTAAAACTTCATCTACTTCTATGAAAAAACAAAATGATACTTGAATTTAATAGACACTCCTGATGAAGCAATGGTTAGTTACTCTAATATAGGATGAGTTAAAAATATATGATCCAGTATGTGGTACCAAAAAGCTGCATATAATACCATGTTACTCCTTCCTTTTTTTTCGGGGGGGGGGGGTATTCCCAGTCCACTCTACCTCAGATATTCATTATCTGGTTGATGCAAGAACTCGTTATTCATGATAAGATACTTCAATTGAATCTTCATAAGATTGAACAAGGGATCCAATAGACTCCGATATAGAAGACAAATTTCATAAAAACTAATGATAGCTAAAGCACACCGGCCTGTTTATGAACTGAATGTTTCCATTGCCATACCTGAATCCCTCTTCTCATTTTATTAAGCCACTGATAATTTTTTGGGGGGTGTCTGTTGATTTGCAAAAGAGATAACCTTAATAACTAAAGCTTTATTAAGTTTCTAGTTTTGTTTCTATGTAAGAGTATATGAAAAAGGGAATCACAGATTGGGATTCATGTGTATTTATATTTTCCAATGCTCTACTTTGCAGATGAAGCTGCAGACACATTAAAAGACCTGGCAGATGAGTTGGATGGCCTTGCTAAAGAAGACCACCCAAGCAGACGTCGACGTCGTGATATTCACGAAATTTCGGTATCAAATATTACAGTACTGCAGGCTAAGGCAAAGTATTGGATTGTGGACATTAGCAGATTTACAAGAGAAGATCTTATCTTTATTGACTTAATCACAAAGGAGGTAAGAATTATGAGGACTGGAGTGCAAACTGGAGCAAAATTTCTCAGTAGTCAGTCCTTGCAGATTGTGACTGTAACTACAAGGATAGTTTATCGTGTAATTGGCCTGTTTGTGAAAGAAGCAGAGATTAAAACAAAACTAAAAGTAACTCTGGCAAACCAAGAGAAATTTGAAACGGTTCACGATATAATAAGATCAGTGGGGCATGAACTGGACAAGATGACCGTATCTACTGATGAGACAGAAATGAATGGTGTAGCAATACTTGAACAATTTAACAATATTTTGTTGGCTATAAATCAGTTTGGTACTAGCGCCATTACTAGCAATACCAACACCATTCTAAATGTAGTTCAACAAGAACTTCATTTACAGGTCTTAGAAGGAGCTGTTTTTTACGAAATACTAATCACTGAAACCAGAGCAAACGTTGAAGCTGCTTTAGTTATTACTGAGGAAACTGCCAAGAAAAATAAGGCACTAAAGGCATCTCAGGAACAAGCTATTCTTCTTGATAGTCTCTCATCTGCTATGAAGATTGTAAAGGAACAAATAGGGTTACTAAGTGAGTCGCAAAAGTTAGTACCTGATGACATTAATCCTACTTCTGTACACATCAGTCAGGAAATTATTGATACAATACTATCTCTTCAGACAGTAGGTACTGAAGCTGTCTCCGAGTCGAACATAAATACAATAAAATCTTTTGAATCAGAGGCTAAGGAATTTCTTCAGCAACATCCATTCATAATCTCAAACTTCGAGAAAATCGAATCTGCAAGTAAAAAGCTGACTTTTGCAGTCGAAAGTAAAGCAGAGGAACTCGCATCTCAGAATTCTCTCGCTAATACACTAGAAACTCTAAAAGACGCTTCTTTCTTTCTTAGCTCTATTACAAAGGTGGTGCACGAAATAAGAAATGCGTCTTCAGAGACTTCCATGGCAGTTAATGATGACATCACAGCTTTTCTCAGTTTCATGACTGAATTTAGTATAGATTATGTAACTAGAGAGTCGGTTTCTACACTGGAAGATTTCTTGCAAAAGGTAATTAATATTCAGATGACTGCTACGTCTTCAGTAGTTCATGATGAAATGAACAGTCTGATAACAAAAGTAGAGGAAATACATATGTCAGTCATTGAGAAAATGGAAGAATATGAATTAAAGAGAGAAAATATACAGTTTGCCCAACAAGTAGAATCAATGAAAGAAATTATATCTTCAACTGAGGTAACCCTGAATGATATTTCTCAGAAAATTTCTAGCAATGATGAGGTATCTACGCTTGAAGTATTACAGATATCTATAGCAGCCATGACAAAACACTTGGATATGTTTTCATCAAAGATCTACAAGCCAAATGAAGATGACCTCCATCTTGCAAAAGCTGATCTAAATTCATTCAAGATGGAGGTCGCACAAGCATCACAAATCAAGAATAGCTTTGAGCTGAAGCAATTGATTGCTAGTACTAGAAAAGCTCTGAAAGTCAACAACAATATTTTGCAAACAATGAAGAAATCGGTAAACATAATACAGCAAGCAGAGACAATATATACCGCAAGTTCAACTGTGGCTGAATTGCAAAGTGTAGTTTCTGCTTTAAAGGCTAAAATATCAGATAAATCTACTTTAACATCACTTGTACTAATTGAGGAAATTCAAACTGAACTCAAAACGTGGAGTCAAAGGGTGAGTAGCTTAAAACTGACGTCTGTCGCTACACTTCGAGGCTTTCTTGACAGCCTTAAAGACAAGACTGGTGAATATTCCGGCCTTGATATCCTCCTTAGTACAATAGAATCCCTGCAGGTCGCCTTAGATGAAACCAAGCAACTGAACGAGCAAGCTCATACAACAAATGTTTTAAAGATGAAAACAAAAGATACACTAAACATCGTAGCACACATATCGAATCTTCTTACTGAAATACAACTTTCCACAATAGGTTCTGAAAATGGTAAGCCTGTTTCAATCAGCACTGCAGAGATAATTACAACTCTAAACAGGGAAATTATAACTATATCGAATATGGAATTAAAGCCTCTAATAGATGAACAACATAAAATTGAGGAATTACTGGAAACCATTAGAAACGGAGAAGTTATTGAGGTCACTGATCTTGAAACGGTAATCATTCAAGTTAACCAATTAATAGATACACTTCAGTTACGTGTCAGCAGCAGTGAGCTGGGATCTAGCAAACTTGACATCTTACAAGCAGTTCAGTCACTGTTAATGGATAATGAAAATCTTTTACGAGAAGTGGAAATTGATAATAATGAAGAATCTGAAATTTTCTTTTTGAAAACCGTAGTCCTCGATGATTATGCTGAATATTTAGAAATACTAAAGCACGAGATCACTGTAACAAAGACTGATGTAGAGATTCTTGAAGGATACAGAAATGATATCAAAGATATTCTGTTAGAGGTTAATGAAACAATGAAAATAAGTGGTTACATTTATAGTATCACCAGTGTTATTTCTTTGATTGAAGATATAAATGAAAAACTTGACAAGAGTATATTCCTTGAAAAAGAGCTAGATGAATTAGGAGAAAAACTGAAGTCATTAGTCAGTCTTTGGCAAACTGTCCAACTCATTATATCTTACTTAACAGAAATGAGTTATATTACAAAAGAACCCACCCACATCATCAGCTTACCCGATACTGTGAACCAAATCAATTCTGATATATCTTCCATTACCAACTTTGATATATCTACCATTACCAACTCTGAAGAAGAAATATTAGAATTTGCTCAGATTTTGGATGAATTAATACGATTGGGAGAGAAGATTATGGATGTTGATGAGCTTCTTAATCTTCTAGTCCAGACAGAAAGTACTTTATCAGTAGAAATAAGCCATGTACAGTCTCAGTACACAAAGGTTAAAGTTATGGTGGAAGTGACTTTAGTAAATCGTGTGACAGCTACTATATTTCAAGAGACAGCTTTACTTATTCAAAGGCTTAAACCATCTCAACTTATTGGTATGATGGATGATGAGGTGAGTGAATTAATTGATTTCTTTAAAAGAGTAACCTCTAACGCGGATTTTATTACGGAAGAAGCAGCTTTGTACATGCTGGTCATTTTTGAAAATGTACAGACTAAGGTGGAAGAACTTGGACCAAGTGAAGGTATTGGAGGTCTAGTAGACTGCCTGAGTGCCGTTCAGGAGGCGAGCACCTCAACTACAAAGCGTTTGAGAGAACAATGGGATAGAGAGTTAAAGTTTAA